CCACCAGGGCTACCTGGTTTAGATGGAAAGCCTGGCAGTGATGGATTGCCTGGAGAAGATGGTCCACCTGGAGCAGATGCACCGGCTGGTGGTGGGCCAACGGTGACCGAGATGTGTTTCAATTGCCCACCTGGTCCAATGGGTAGACCTGGTCGACCAGGACCCAAAGTAAGTAAAAAGATTAGGTAACCTTAATATAGTAAGTAGAAACACTAGTAACCTTACTTTAGAAAAGACTGTTTAGGGACCTCCTGGCCCTCCTGGGCAACCCGGTGTCATGGGCATGGCTCTCCCTGGTCCACCTGGACCACCGGGACCTCCTGGACTTCCTGGCGAAGACGGTCCACCTGGTCTTCCCGGTCTACCCGGGAAGCCTGGCGGTATGAATGGTGGCCCTCCGATAATGGGACCTCCTGGACCACCTGGCCCACCTGGACCACCAGGACCTCCAGGATTACCTGGAGAACCTGGAGGAGCAACAGCGGGTATCCCAGGTCCTCCTGGAGATATGGGTGCACCTGGAGCTCCTGGATTTCCCGGACCTCCCGGACCACCAGGTCCTCCTGGAGGAGCGGGTAGTAGCGGAATGTGTGATCATTGTCCACCACCAAGGCTTTCACCTGGATATTAATGTGGATTGATTAATATCATGTTTACATTTTGCTGAATCTTGTAATTAAAAAGATGTCATCAATAGTTTTGTTTTGGAGTCACTGCTAGATCGGAGTTGATGTTTTGAATACATGAAATCATATTTTTTTGTACTTGCGCCGGCTCTCTCTCTCTTTCTTTTCCTGCCAATCCATAATCTGCCGTATCAGTAGCTGGTCGATCTTTTCAGAAATAGTTATTGTAGCACTGCCCCTAGCTGTACTGCTCAATCGCAAATTTCCAAATAAATATGCGTGTTTGAAAGCTGGAATTCTAGCGCAAAGAATTTTTCGCTTTTGTGATCTGTGGTTGGAATGGGTTGAATCTTCACAATTCTCAGTTGCTCTCCTGTCGTCTTAGATCGAACAAAACATAATCCTACAGTCTGCTCTTACAACGTCTTAATTGTTTCCAAAAATAGGTTTGTAGAAGGCGGACTGACCAGAGATCTTGAAATAGCTAAAGAAAAGCCAATTTTAT